GTCCCCCCCCACACCCACACCCAGTGCCTCCTCCGGACGCCCGGGAAGGGGTCGAGGGGTGTCTGGGGACCTGGATTCTGGGCGCGAGAGGGGAAGCCGGTGAGAGATGGGCGCGACTGCAAGTGCTATAGAGGATGGGAGGTCTCCTGCAGCACCTGGGCAGGGGGGTCGCGAGCGGGACGCGGGGACCCGGGAAAGCCCTGTCCCCCCACACCCACACCCAGTGCCTCCTCCGGACGCCCGGGAAGGGGTCGAGGGGTGTCTGGGGACCTGGATTCTGGGCGCGAGAGGGGAAGCCGGTGAGAGATGGGCGCGACTGCAAGTGCTATAGAGGGAATGGGAGGTCCACAAGAGGAAGTTCTTTCCCACGAGGTCTTTTGGAAAGGAGGTGGCAAATGGGTGGAATAGTGATAATCTGGTGCAAGGACTTTGGACTAGAGAATGCAGCGGGAACTCCTAAAAGTGATCGGTTTGAAGAGAGAAAAAAAATCCCACAACAGGGTTTCCATTGGGCTGGCACTTGCTTCTTTCTCCCTTCTGGCAGCTTACCTGTGAGAAGCAGAGGTCACATCTGTGAGAAAATTTCGGGGCGCCAGGCACGTGCAATTTTAGATTACATTCTTCTATTCGCTTTTTATAGAAAGTGATGTGGTTTTATAAAATACTAGAAAAGATATCATGACAGGTAAAACATGTAGCAGGGCTTGCAAATGTGCGAAATCGCTGGGAATGAACCGTGTACCGTTGAATTTGACGGGATTGAGGTTTTTTGTACCAGTTTACGTTAGTTTGATTTTGTAGAGATCGGAAGGAAAGTTCTAGGGACTGCTGTTACCTTCTTTTGCTACAATAAAAATGCTATTCAAATAATATTTTTAGAGTATTCAGTAACTTTGAACTTTTCCTTATTTAGCATTTTACCCAAATTGATTAAGTATTAAGCCATCAAATTATAACTTAAGTTTCTCGCCTATTTGTCGTTTAATTTGAAAGAAACTGGAGAAATATGTGTCATCCAAATACAACTGTGGTATATGTACAAGATCTTGTACTTTGAAGAGACAACCCCAGATTTCCATGAACCACTTTAAATTATCTCACTCAAATTGCCATCATTTTCCATGGCAACAGTGGCTTCAGTTACCATAGTACAACACAAGATATAAGCCCCATGGCATATCCAGTAACCAGGAAAATAGGCATACTCACTACCCATCTAAACCCCTCCCAGCCATTATCCTGAAAACTCTCAATTGTATTAAAATTCATAAATGATTCGTATACACTTCTTGCTTGATTCGTTCAAAGAAACCTGTATCTACCAGGAGACATCATTGAATCAAGGAGTGTAAAAACTGGGAAAATCCTTACAAGTCATTTTCAGCCTCCTGCATCGTGGCAGAGCTATCCCTCCACTACTCAGAAGCATACAGATTTTTAAAAGACCTCCAGACATAATCTTTCTGAATGTTTGGTCTTCAGGTTTCCTGGTAGAAGACATAAAAATGATGACGTTTCACACGGTCAAACGATATAAAAACTAGAGGACGTGATAAATGGGTGAAATAAACAGGATGAGGAAAATAATACCAAGAAAACATTTAAATCGCGACGTTTTCTTCTTATAAATTTTTGATTCATTTTTATTTTTACTTTTTTGTTGGTAAGGGCCTTGTGCCTGCTAAGCAAGCCCTCTATCACTGAGCTAAATCCTCAGGCCCCAAATTTTTGATATTTAAAAATATGTCTACCCTATGCATACAAATAGTAACAAAAAAAATCATATGGAGCCAGGCATGGTGGCAAACACCTATAATTTTAGCTATTCAGGAGATTGAAGCCAGAAGATTGAAAGTTTGAGGCCAGCCTGGGCGATGTAGCAAGACCCTGGCTTAAAGAATTTTAAATACAGTAGTTAAAAAAAAATAATTTATTTTAAAATTAAATGTGTATAAAGTCAATGAATGTTTTTCTTTAATGTTGGTTAGCATAAATTGTGCATTTGAATACTAACTTTAATAATTTTTAATATTTCTTTAAAGAAACAATATAGTTTGGGTTTCATTGCTGAGGCTTGGGTTGGACAGTCTCCGGAAATAAATGATGAGCTCTGAGGGCTCCTCCTACATAGGGAAATGTTTTCTCAAAGGTGTGAAAGGATCCTAGCCCACTTCTGGCTACTATTTCCCCAATCTGTAATACAGACTACTACAAGTTAGTCCTTCATGGTTTTAGAATGACCTACCAGGGGGAATAAGGACCTCAAAATGCTTAGAAAAGAATCCACTGCTTTCAAAACACTAACCTTTATGTCAGAATGTTTTAAATACACAGTTGTTTTAGAAAAATATTCATTTACAACCCTTTAACACTTCCAAATATTCATTTACAACACTTTAAGTACAAGGCCCAGGGTGCTAAACCAACTTCCTTGAGCCTGGTTCCTCATCTGTAAAGGTCAAGAATGCCTGCATTGTACAGGCTGACGGGACCAAATGTCTATCATGAACATGGTTTATTAACTGATACATGAAAGAAATCATTAATCCCCTCCAGGTCCAACCCCTCAGGCATTTGGTTAGGACATAGGGTCTTTATGACTGAGAAGTCAGGACAAGTGCCACATAGGAAACCTTGTGGGAGGAAGGTAGAATCGAGGAATAAGGCTTTTATTACTAGAAGGGGCCTAAGATCTTTTTTAAAATGAGATTTTACATTTATTAAAGGCATTAGAGGTAGGAAAAAGTATGTTCTACAGAGTGAGTGCGGGTCAGTTAAAGGTAGGAAAAGAAGTACACAAAGTAGAGCAGGCCAGTGAAAAGGGCCGCAGCAGCTGAGATGGTCCAGTTCATATTCATGCTACAGATGAAGAAATTAAGGCACCGAAAGCTGGTACACCTTATCCAAGGTCATGCAGCAAACTGGTGACAAAAAAGCAATTATGACCATCCCAGCCACAGATGATCTTGTCAGTTCTGGCAATATCAGAGTAGAAGACGTGCCTCAATTACCTGGGAGAAAAATGTATTAAACATAAATGAACTATAATGTTTTCAGGAATGCATTAAAAATCAAGATATAGTAGGGCAAAAGGAAAGATGGACGCAAGCTGAGGGAATCACAGAATTTGTAATCTTTACTTGAATAAACTAATAACCTCTTGACATCCCTACCCTTATCCTGAGAACAATTCTTATTTATATTTTACATTCATGAGCTTTCTTTTTTTTTTCTTGGTACTGGGGATTGAATTTAGGTCTTGTGCTTGCGAGGCAGGCAGCGAAACCACGGAGCTAAATCCCCAGCCCCTATGGGCAGATTTTAATTAGATAATACATTTCCATGCTATATCGTTTTTTAAAACAAACACTCAAGGCACACCACGAAAATGGCCTTTGCTCTTCCCTCGGCTCGCAGGTTCCCCCAGGGAAAGGGGTTTTCTGGTGTACTCAGTCTAGCGAGCAAAAGCATAGGTATGCTTACTCACTGATTGCTTTGATGGGCCTGCTCGATTTACATTTTAAAAAACACACCCTGTTACAAAAGCCCAAGTGGCCACAGCAGTGTGACCCCTCACGGGCTTTGAGAAAATAGGCT